AGAAATGCCGTCTTTACATCCATCTGATGTAATTCTAAATCGTAATGTGCCACTAATGCCATTATGATTCTGAAGGAATCCTTACATGAGACTGGAGAAAAGGTCTCATTGTAATCAATCCCTTCTCTTTGCGTAAAGTCTTTTGACACAAGTCGCGCTTTATATCTCTATATATTCCCTTGAGAGTCAAGTTTTGTTTTGTAGACTCATTTACAGCCTACTGTTTTGGCTCCTTTAGGAATTATCCAAGTCCCAAACTTTATTGGCATTCATAGATTTCATTTCATCTTCCATGGCCTCAAGCCACTTTGATGAATGATCACTTCTCATGGCTTCTTCAAATGAGGTGGGATCATCCTCCATTTAAAATTTCTCAGTGTTGTATACTTCATAGTCAGCAGAAATAGCTGATTTTCTAACTTTTTGAGACCTTCTAGGGGCCTCCACATTTGGCACATCTTTTGTTTGAGGTTGTTATTGCTCCCCCTCATGTGTGGCAATAGGTTCTACAGGATCCTGAAGAACAGGTTCCTCATCGTCATTCATTGTTGCCACAAGCGGAATAACAACAGGTGCTGGCACCACAGTATCTTGCACTGTCGGTGCAGCGACAACAGGTAGTGAGAAAAATGGCTCATGAATTATCGGAGTGGGCGCATACACCCGCTTCTCTTTAAGGTCAATTTCTTGAGCTACCATGCTCCCCCTCATCATTTCATCCTCTAGGAAGACAACGTGTCTCGTTTCCACAAACTTTGTATGTCTGTCTGGACAGTAGAAACGAAAACCTTTTGACTTTTCTGGGTAACCAATGAAATGGCAACTTACTATTTTGGGATCTAGCTTCCTAATGTTTGAGTTAAATACTTTAGCCTCAGCAGGACTCCCCCCCACACGTAAGTGGTTTAGTGAGGGTACTCTTCCTGTCCACAACTCATACGGTGTTTTGGGCACCGACTTACTTGGTACTCTATTGATAATATAAATGGCGGTTTTTGACGCCTCCATCCACAGGCTCAACGGTAAGGTGGAGTAACTTATCATACTGCGCACCATATCCATCAGGGTACGATTGCGTCTTTCAGCTACTCCATTCTGCTGAGGTTCGTCCAGTGTAGAATACTGGACTACTATGCCATTCTCCTATAAGAACCTTACAAAAGGTCCAGGAACTTGGCTATATGGGGTATGCCGATCGTAGTACTCCCCCCCCATACGGTCGGACCTGACTATCTTAATCTTTAAATTGTGTTAGTTTTCAACTTCTGCCTTAAATATCTTAAATTTATCCAATACTTTTGTTCTTTCTTTGATTGAATAAATGTAGCCATAACGGGAGTAATCATCTGTGAATGTTATAAACGAATCATAACCATCCACACTCTTTATAGAAAACGGACCACAGATGTCTGTGTGAATAATCTGTAAAATTCATGCGCTTCGTTTGGCATCTTTCTTAATTTTCTTTACATACTTTCCTTTTATGTATTCTCTGCATTGTTCTAAATCTAAGAACTCTAATGGAGGAAGAATATCATTCTTAACTAGTCTTTCTATTCTCCCCCTCGAAATATGGCCTAAACGATAGTGTCATAATTTCGACGACGCATCATGAGCTCTCTTTCGTTTTCTGTTTACATCCGCAGACGAGGATACATTCTCATTGTCGCACGCAATGTTTCCATCATCACATACAACATTCACATCATCACATAGTGATAACAAATAAAGCTCATTTTGTAAGATAGCAAGACCAACACATGCATTATTAAATGTTATCTTACATTTGTGATTTCCAAAATGGCAATCATATCCATCATTGTCCAAGCATGAAACACTAATCAAGTTTCTCTGTAAAGAGGGAACATGAAGTACATCTTTAAGTAAAAGTGTGAAGCCACCAACAAGCTCTAGAGAAAGATCGCCAATGGCTTCAACATCTGCTCGGACTCCATTTGCAAGTTTAATGTGTCTTTCTCTTCTTTGTGTAGTCCTCGTCGAACGGAATCTCTGTAAAGAATTAGTAACATGAACAGTTGCACTTGAGTCAATCCACTAAGTAGATTTCAAATACCGTACATACAGGAATTCATTTATGAACGTAATAATGTTCTCACCTTTCTTTGCCATGATCATCTTTAAGTAATCGGGACAATCTTTCTTATAATATCCCATCTTCTTGCAATAGAGACACTGGTCTTTCTCTACTGTGAACTTGTTCTGCTGAGGCTGATGCAGCATGGGACCCTTTCCCTTTGACTTTGAGGAGAAGTTAGCATTATTATTCTTTTTCTTGTTGTCTTTCACATAATTGATAGTGCCACCATTGGCAGCTTTCATTCTCTTCTCCTCTTGCACACACATAGCCATGAGCCTCTCTAAGTCCCACTTCTCGAGCTGTATGTTGTAGTTGACAACAAAAGTGTCAAATTCCTTTAGCAAGAAAGCAAAAATCAGATGGATAACGGACTCTTCCTTGAGAGCCAAATTCATTGGTTTTATCTTGGATGCCAAATTGCTCATCCTTAGTATGTGCTCTTTTATGCCACCATTTCTAGAGTACCTCTCTGTCACCAGCTGCTTTATCAGCTGGGTAGCATATGTCTTTGAAGAGCCAGTGAACTAACTCTTTATTCTATCGAGATACTCGGTGACCGTGTCACACTCTGGGATTGAGCCCACAATTGTAGGCTCAATCGTGTTCTTTATCACAGACAAACATTTTTTATTGGCAGTGACCCACTTTCTATGCTCAAGGTCATAGGACATATGTTGTGATTCAAAATCCCTCTCTCTAGTTGCCTAAGTGGCATCAGCCTCGTTTGTCTCCCTCATCGGTGCCACAGATTTAGTGGGACACGGTGAGGTGACTACCCAGTCCACCTCAGCCAAGATGAAGGCCAGGTCAATCTTTTTCTTTCACTCCGTGTAGTTGTCACCTTTGAGAGTGGGGATCTCTTTGATACAACACATTAAGTTGTATCTGCCTGAAAACACAATTCATATAGAGTGAGAACATAAATAATAACAACAATTGCATGCCTTGATTCTAATGTTGGTCAAAATTAAAACATACAACTGTTTTTACATTAAATCTACATGACCATTGGGCAGAAATAAAAATAATGCATAAAATCATTAAAATCAAGATATTGTTATTAACAACGTTGGTCAGAAAATAGCAACATCATAATCATGTCAAAATCTCTTTTTCTCCAATTAAATATCACGTTGGTTCAAAATAACTAGAGAATAAACTATTTCTTTAGCAGCAAAAAACGTAAAAATTATCTATTTTTCAGAAGCATTAAACTTTTCTCAACTATTCTCTAAAAAATTATCCCGTTAGTTCAAATTTTAACAGAGATATCAAACTAGACAAAATTCATTGAAATCCACTTCTGAAATATTAAATAAACTCGAAACTCATTTACTGTTCATTCTGGCCCGGCCTGCAGTGACAGTAACTGGCCCAGAAGCAACAATGCGCGGCCCGAACCAGCTGAAAAAACAAAATCCGGTCTGGCCTGCACTGTGCGCGCGCACTGTGCTTCCCAGGCCGCAACATGGGCCTAGGCCGACAAAGCCACCCGCCGCGCGCGCCCGCCTAGGCCAAAACTCGGTCCAGTGACTCTCGTCCGTTCATCCAGATCCGACGGCTAGGCGACAATTTTGCTTGATCAAAACCGCCCAGCCGGCCGGCGCCCCCAAACCCTAACTCACTTCTCTTCGCCCTTTCTCTCTCTCTCAGTCCCGCGAGCGACAGCGCAGCCGAGAGCTCAAAGCGGATGCGACGCGGGGATGGCGGCTCCGCCGTGGCACCCCTCGCCGGCGCACGCGTGCGGCCAGAGCCGCGCGTGGCACCGTCGAGCGGCACCACGGTGGTGCCCTTTGGCCCAAGCCCGAGGCGGAGATCGTGCGGCGGCGCTTCTCCCATCCCGGCGGCTGAGGTTGACTTCCCGCGCGGTGTCCACGCGACGGCCGACGGTGGAGACGGAGCGGGCGGACCCCAGGTAGGAGCTCCTGACCCTTGTCCGTTCACTCTCTTCCCCTTTCTCATCGTGAGTTAGGGTTAGGGTTTTGTTAGGTAAGCCGCCTTGCCAGCTCTTCCCCTTTCCCCTTCTCTTTTGGATCTTCTTTCTTTTCTTCTCGGAGTTCATCCGATTGGGGATTAGGGTTAGGGTTTCATCAAGTTAGGGTTAGGGTTTCACTCACTGGGGTCACTGTTCATCTTCCCCAGCGAGTTCTTCGTGGGTTTGAGCTCGGATTTGGGTTCTTCTTGAAGCCGAGTCCCTCTTCTTCTTACTCCTTTCCTTCACCCTGTTAGGGTTAGGGTTCGGTGACCCTCTTTTAGATCCGAAAACCAAATCTCTCACCTCGGCTTTGTTCTTTTCTTGCCGTGCACCGGCGATGACGGCGGTGCGGCACCTTTCCCCGCGCGGTGGCGGTGGTGACCGGCAGTTGAGTGACGCCCGCCACCCCCCGGTCTCTTTTCATTTTCTTTTACCCGATCTAGATCTAAAGGCCCTAGAAGACCTGGCTCTGGTACCATTGTTGAGATCGAAAAGATCATCTAGGGTTAGGTCTAGCGGGTTCTCTTTACTGTGAATGCGATATCGAGAGTAGAGAGAGAGAGGAATAGAAGAAGAACGTGTCGAACCTGACACCGCAGAGGAAGAGGTCAATGAAGTCGTCGACGTCGGTGGAGCGGGGCGGCGCGGCTGGTGGCTTCCCGTCACTGGCTGCGCCCCTCTCTGATCGGGATTAGGGTTTTGAGTTCGGTGGGGAGCTCGGCTCACGGTCAACCTCGTACTCAGAGCCGCCGGCCCCCACCTCTATATATAGCGCGGTGTGACAGGGGCCCTCCAGCCATAGTGGGCTGAGCGCCCCCGATCAAGGCGCGGATCAAAGGCCCAACTGGGCCGTTGGGCCCAGTTTGGGATTAGAGATCAATCTAACACCCAGCAGCACATATTACCAACCCTGATGATCAGCAGCAGGAGGAGGTTGCAGAAACCAAAGAGCAGCTGCCAACCTTGAAGGGATTCTACTCAGGTTATCCAGCCCTGAGCTTGCACGATGGTGGTGTTGTTTACATCATGGACAGACACAACCTCGATGACACAAAGGTAACAATGGTTGCTGTTGATATGAGGAAACAGACTCTGAAGGGTGTGGCTGATTGTTACTCTCCGAGGCGGCTGGGTTACAGTTCCGTCTACTTTGGATCGAAATGGTATCTCCAAACATCTCCGCAGCAGGACATCCACCAGAGGGAATGCTGCTACTAAACAGGTAAGCACTGCAATTTGGCAATCAAGGAGTTCCAAGGAACGAAGAATGTGCAATCTCAAATGAGTTCTAAAAAAGTTGATGGAACACACTGCAAGTGTAGAGGAAGACGTGGCAGCTGGCTAACACTGCTTCCTTGATGTAAAGACAACAGCAAGCGCGACCTTTGTGCGCTACAGCTGCTGTCGAACCTTCAAATAAATTAAACTTATGATTCATGAACCAGAGCCTGGAGGGTGTTTGATTTGAGTTAGTTGTAAGCTCTGAGTTGTCCATGATTCATCATCGCAGGTGCTTGTAGGCTCTAAGTAAGTTAATGCACGATTTTTTTTACAGTATATGGTAATGGCCATCTATAATGCTCTAAGGAGCTAGGACTACTTGTGTTTTCTACTACAGTTGTGGTAAATGCAAGCCTAAAAATTTTTGCTTTCTTTCTGGAGTTTTCAACACTGAAGCTACTACTAGTAGGAATATAGGATAGTGCTCCATCCGCTTCAAAATATGGGCCATTTTAGTTTTATCTAAGTCACCTTTAACTTTGACAAAATTTGTATAAATAAAAATGAACTAACATTTAGAACATCACTCTGTTTATTTAGAATTACTACTAAATCCGTTCCAAATTATAATTCGTTTGACTTTTTTGACCCCAAGTTTGACCACTCGTCTTATTCAAAAATTTGTGCAAAAATATCGCTTCTTTTTCTGTGGCTTGCTTTATTAATAAAAGTTCTTCAAAAATAACTTAAATTTGACTATGTTTGCACAAATTTTTTGAATAAGATGAGTGGTCAAACTTGAGGTCAAAAAAATCAAACGAATTATAATTTGGAACGGAGGAAGTATGAAATATATCTTGGTAGTGCGTTCATTTTGACATTATAGATGTCATTATATTTTTCTATAGGATAGAAAAAAAACTGAAACAGCCCAATAGTCGATCGACCGTATATCATATTATTTATCTTCAACTTTAATTTTCATTTTTCTAAAATTATTTATTTCTATATTACATATATGGGATTTATTCATGTATTTGTGCTGTGATGGCATGGAACTTTGGCAAAGGACTATAATTGCTTTGTGTATAATTTTTTCCTCTACAATTTTCAAAGAGACTATGGATTATGTTGCTCCTGTTGTTGCCCCCTTTCCGTTCTTGCACTTATTTCTAGCGTGCGTTGTTCTTGTGCTTGGGTTGCAGCAGCGGAGGTTGGAAGTCGGGACGGTGGTGTGCGCGATGGCGGTGGCCCATGCTTGCCACCGATGTACAAGCAACCTCGGCAACTGGGTTATTTGAGGTCAGGAAGAAAGCTTTGGACGACATTTGTGGATGTCGCTTGCTCCTTGGAGACGTCCTCTGTGTACCTCTTCCTAGTTCCCCCCACCCGGTCGTTGATTGCAGGTGAAAGCTTTTCCCATGGTGGACTAGCGGTGTAAGCGCGCCTTGGGCATTGTTAATTGCCTTCATGAAGGCGCCGCTAGGCAATTTCAGTTCCGTTGATTGATGCTTGCCATTTGGCTCTGTTGCTGCTCTTGCTTTGTATTTATATGTACAGTTCACCAATAGCTCTTAGCACCGTTTCTTTTCTCATCTCTTGACTTGTTATACGGTGTTAGAAGGTCCGAGTAAGGTTAGATGTTTTGGCTGAAGAGAGGACTCTTTGGATGAGAAAGATGAAGTGCTTGTCGAGAAGATCCTCCCTATTGAACATTGATGTGATGCATCGAGTGTTGCTGCCTTCATTAGTGGAATACAGCCACCTGACGGAGACAAGAAAGAATTTGAATTTGTTTAGCAAGTTGTGTAATGAGGTAGGAATAGGACTGGGACTTGAGTTCCGTTTCTTTGCTCCATGTTTTGTACCCTGTGTGGTGGTTTGTAGTCTAAGTACTATGCGTGTGTTGTAATTAGCTATACCCATTCACTTGTGAATGAGGAGTCCGGAATGTTATATTCTTTAATTAAAAAAGATTCTACTGATGGCATTTGCAGGTAAATTCATTGCTTTGATCATTCTGGTGTGATTAGTGATGAAGTATAATAGTTGCGCTGCTTAGCAATCTTAGAAAAGAAGCAAGGCATTTCAGCTCTATGCCTTTTCTCCATGCAGACTGTGAGGCATTGGAGAATCAAAGGCAAGATTATCATGATTATAAAGTCAGCTTAGGTCAACACTTTTCTACAACGACATATGACTTGCAGAGTGTAGTTCCACATCTACATGTGCACCATGGTCTTATACTAATTCTCAGCCTCTCAGCAATCTATGTCCCTCATTACATGATATCATACATACACAACATGATTTCCTATGTATGCCACATGGCCCTCGATCTCTCTTTTATATTGTCATTGAAAATAAGGCATTTTACTTAAAACTACAGAGAATTACGAGTATAGTTCATTGATTTTGTTAATGTTTGTAATATGTTCCCTTAGCTTTTGTAGAGGAATTGGTTATGATAAAAAAACATAAATGTCATGTTCTTAGCTTGCCATTTGCATGTTTTGTAATTATTTTTCATTTTCTTTATTTAAAGTTTTGAATATCTTCGAAGGATGAATGGAAACATGGAATCTTGGATAGTTGGAGCAATAATTATCGATTTTTATGAACCACTTGTATCTTCTTCAATCTTGTACTTGTACCCGGAAACTCTGTATTCTCATTTCTTTTGTAGCAGCATCATATATTTTCTTGTATATGGATGTCTCGTCATGAATATCTGATGTATAAGCTTATTGATATCGTATCGCAGAATCTAGGGTTAGAAAAAATTGAATTTTATGTGGTATAGGATCTAGTTGTCAAAATTTTCCTCATTATTTCCTCCTTTGCACGGGAACATTTTTAAGCACCTGTGTGCCTTATCGTATCATTGCACATGCCAATTATATTTTGTATATATGATATATATGATTGACTTACAAAAATCTCATTAATATTCCACCATTGCATATGGAATTGCTTTAGAAAACACTTGTATCGTACCATTTCTACTAGTCTTGGTCTTTCATCTTCAAGTTTGACCAAGTTTATACAGAAATGTCCCAATATTTATAACACCAAGTTTACTAGCTTATTCACATTTACTATAGAATATGTCTTGATAGTGCATTCATTGGTATTATAGATGTTAATATATACTCTCTTCATTTCAAATTGTAGGTCGTTCTTGATTTCCTAGTTACATACCTTATACTAATATATATTTGTGCATAACGTGTATCTAGATACGTAGCAAAAGTAATGTATCTGGAAATTAAAAATCAAAATGATTTATAATTTGAAATAGAGGGAGCATATTTTCTATAAAGTTGTTAGGCAAGTTTTGGCTTAGAAAAAAACACTAAAGCAACAAATATACATTACTACAGAATTGAACGTCAGTGCTGGTTCAAAATCCCTAAAAAACAGGCTGAAAATAGGATTTTTTTAATACTAGGAGAGACCCCACTAGTCAAGTAATTTTTCGCATGAACAATGCGTGCCTTGCAGTAGTTGGCACTCGAACCCCCTACCCTTGGTTTCGCATGTTCGTCCTCTGACCACTCCACCTATAAGACGTTTGTGTCCATTTGAAATATTTGTTGTCCCCATTTTTTGTCAATCTAGTTTTGAAATTAGTATTTGGGATTGTAAACGAATTTAAATGAAAAAATTATCAACTACAAAGTTTTATAACTTTTTGATGTTTACAACTTTGATTTTGATCATTTCTCCATTCGAGCTCATTTGAAGAATTTGAATTTCAGATGTGAGGAAATTCAACCATAATTTTCCTTGGACAGATGATTTTAAGTAAAAAAATTGTCAACTACATAGTTGATCAACTTTTCAAGATCTATAATTTTTGTTTTGGGCATTTCTCCATCTGAGATCATTTGAAAAATTCAAATTTTAAATTTGAGAAATCAAACGTAATTTTTATTAGATAGATGATCTCAAATGAAAAAGTTGCCAACTACAAAGTTGCATAACTTTTCGAGATTTAAAACTTTTGTTTTAGTCGCTTCTCCATCTGAGATCCTTAACTACCACTATACACTCACTTGTGACTATAGAACATATAGAATTATAGATTCCTTTGGTATTAACTTTATGAAATCTTACAAATCAAATAGAGAGCATAACGGCATTAAATAAAAAAATTTTGAACTACAAAGTTGCACAACTTTGGTATAAAGTTTCATCACACATCATATGAGAAAAATGATGAAGTTTTTTCGTGTAGCATATCACTGCCGATTCAAACCACGAACCGGTAGTGATGATCCAATATCACTGCCGGTTCATAGCTAAAATTGGTAGTGATATGAACCGGTAGTGATGACTCGAATGTCATTGCCGGTTGGTCCTATCACTCTCGGTTTTAGCTACAAACCGGTAATGATGGGCTGGGAGGCACTATCACGGCTGGTTTTTAAGAAATCGGCAGGTGAAAGTCGATCAATTTTGTAGTAGTGATATTATATTATGAAGAAATATCCTCTGGTAATTGTATCCGTCGATATTTCTCGAAGTTGGAACCTTCTCCTGACATGACAGATGCATAGTAGTATGTTTTGGTTTGAGAAAGACCACAGTTTACACTGAGAACGACTCTCACCGGCTTATCATTTCCTTTCATTCACACATGCATCGGTAAGTGAACACACGAGAAAAAAAAAGGGCAGGCCGGCCGGGGTCATCGTCGGCTGCTGGTGCCGAGATGCCGCCGTAGGTCAAATAAAGCAGTGCATTCCGCACGATTGGTCACGACTGGCGACGCGAGAGACAAGAACGTCCACTACGTGAAAAAAAGATTCTTAGGGACGCGGCGGCTGGCTCTTTAGCCGCCCCTATAGTGGCGCTGTCAGGCCATGTCCTGTGCGCTGGACATTAGCCGCCCCTACAAATGACACAGTAGGGACGGCTGGTGTCTCCAACCGCTCCTATAAATGGGGGTTATTTATAGGGGTGGCTGGTGATTGAGCTGTCCCTGCAGTTAG